CCCTCTGTGCTCGCTAAATGCCAACAGCTCTCTTGCTCAACACAACCCAGCGTTACAACATGCCATAATTCCAGTCAATCAGACACGAGGCTGCTAAATTCTGATTGGCTGCCTTGAAAACCACTCACAACATTTCTTGCATTACTATGCAAGTTGATATTCTGATTATATTTTTTTCCAAGCACATTTTACCAATTCCAAACGACATCAATCTTAATAACTCCTATTAATCTCGTATTTAATCACTTATAATCTATATATTATTGTTCATGAAGGCTGGAAGTGAAAAACGCCTTATATTCAGGTGTGCATAATTATTAAGCAGGTTATCTTCTACAGATAAAATCTCGAGATGGACTAAAAATGAACTCCCAAAACTTACTGCCAGATTCTGGAAGATAAATTTTTCAAACAGTGGTACAAGAAGATGTGGTGCTGGTCCTTCAAGAGTCACTCTCAACTTATCTGTCTATAAAGCATATCAGTCTTCAAGTATTTTACTACACTCCAGTATGTTATTCTTATTTAGTAGGGGTCATTTCTTAGGATTCTATACTTAACCTAAGTCTCTGAGAACCTGACACCTTGTACTTCTGGAGACTCCAGGTAGGTTGTAGTTCTGGAAAATGGTGGCGCTGGAGACTAAATGGTTCCTGGTGATTTCACACCTAATTCTTCACCTTAATTCCTAATTCTTTTGCAGTTAACATGCATCTTTTCTTCTCCACATGTTTTTGACTGACCCTGCTGACCCACTGAGCATTTTGCCGTCCAATGGTTATGCATTCACTTTGCAATTTCTAGTATTGTATTAGTTTTGAATATTTCTCATGGGCATTTAATAATTTTTGACTTTCAGTCTGTCTTTTTTTGGCTCATTTTATCTGTAAAAGAAAATCTGCTTAATAATTATGCACACCTGAATATAAGACATTTTTCACTTCCAGCCTTCATGAATAATTATATATCAATTATAAATTATTAAATACAAGATTAATAGTAGTTATTAAGATTGATGTCGTTTGGAATTGGTAAAATGTGCTTGGAAAAAAATATGATCAGAATATCAACTTGCATAATAATTATGCATGCACTGTATTTTTCCTCTTCTGCAGTCG